TGGGGTGTGAATACTTTTTCTACCCCCCCCCCCCCCCCCCCACATCCACCCACCACTGAATATTCTACAAGGAAAAGCTTTTCAAATTTTTATTACAAAAAAAAAACAATATTATTATTTATTATTATAATTCCTTTGATGAAAAATTTATAGATGATTGTCGTGCTAATAAATCTCGAATTTCACGTAAGACTTTAACTTCTTCATCGACTTCATTGTCAAGATCATCTTCAGTTGTTGCTTTATTTCTACGAGCTATCTTATGTAATTTATTGATTCCTTGAATAACAAAAAAAAGTACCAATGCCACAATGCATAAAGAAATAATTGTTTGAATAAATTTACCATAGCGAATAACAACAGGTGGTTGGTCTTCGTAAACAAAATTTTTCATATTAATTGTTAAATTAACAAAATCAACACCGCCCAAAATAAGACCTAATGGAGGTGTAATTATATCATCGACAAGTGATTGAACTACATTTGTAAATGCTGTACCAATAATAATACCAATTGCTAAATCTAGTACATTTCCACGAAGAGCAAATCTATTTGATGAAAAGAATATTAAACAAAAAAGAAATAAGAATAAATACATACGCTTTGAATTCTTTACAGAAATTTGCACAACATTGACCTACACATGCCATATTTATCTAAAGAATATATATGAACATTTTTTTTTGTCCGATGAGATTTTATAAAGCACAATCTTAATACATTCTATTTTGAAGGCTTCCGAAAGTATTATTATCTGAAATGCTTTTAGATATCTCCGAGGGTTCCGAGATCCGTCCGCTACAAAAATATTAGGAATAGAAGTTGATAAGTTCAGTTTTGGGGACTAAGCTCTCCGAACAATTTTTTGTGTTCTTTAGAAAGACACTTGCAGATAATAATAAAAAACTTTGTTCTGTTACTGAAACACTTCTTCCAGAAACAGAATAAGGTTTCTCGAACAGCTCACTTCCGGGAACTTAACTGTTTGAACAGTTCTTTCGCTCACTTGATCCGAACTTTGAACTGGAAACTAGTCGATTCCTAAGCTGAAAGCTGTTGTTTGGGGGGTTCCTATGATACGAAATCTTGAGTTTTAAATTGTATACAGATGACAACCATTAAAAAAAGAACTCATCATCGATTAGCTACAAGGATATATTTTATTTATCAATAAGATTTCATTTTTGTCATTCAGTAAAAATGTTTTAACAACAGATTCTATCTATTAGCGTATACAACCTATTCTTTCTGATTATATCTTATTTATTTTGTATCAGTGAAGAACTATGGAATGATAAGTTTCTGTATATTTGGCATTGAGATGTCAACATGCACACATAAAAAATGACATTCATTATGTTACTACAATATCATCCATCATTTCGGACTGTCATTATAATCTTATCCTTTTGAAGAAATCAACCGAATGTTGATGCTTTCTATTGTTAGCTATATATATCAGAATAGTAATAATCTGCCATGAATAGGCAAAAGATCAACAATAATCCACTTAGTCTCTGGCAATTATATGTATAATATTTTTTCTTTCTTTGCTTTCTCACAGACTAAATCATAACGAGTTTACATATTTCTTGTATCACATATCATAATATGTTTAGACTCTGGAAATTCAAGTCTTACATAATTGAATAAGGGTATGAGATATTTTTTACGAGGTCTGCTGATCAAAATCAAAGTGCTCGAAAATTTTGAAATTTCTTGCAGTTTTTATAGAAACGAGAAACTCGTTAATCAACGAAATCGACCACTTCTCAAAATTGAGTTTATTATTTTCTCAACAGTCAATACTAATGTCAGAAGTCGATTGTCATTCAAATTAGACAGTTAGATCTCATTCTGACTGCGTGCGGCTGATTCAAAACTCAGTATTATCGATCTGCTATAGCATTATGCAATGCAATGTTCTTATGAAAAGTTTCTCTTCCTTCTTGAGCTCCTTTAATTTGACTGACATATAGGGTATAGGTGCGCGAGGGCATTATTGTATTTTTCACTTTTATCTAAAACCCCGTGCCCACATTGCCAAGCTCTTCGTTTTATTTAAAATTTACGTGTATAATATTTTTGTTCAGTATATTGTTCTTCTTTTTTATTATACTTTGGACCAAACAGAAAAATTTCGACATCATTTTCAATGACGATTAATGTTGACCATCATCATCGGAATCCGCCATTGACCAAGAGAAAGAAAAGGAAGTAGATAAGATTTGTGAAGACTATATCACATACTGAATGAACATTATGTACATAAATATTGTTCCATGTAAAAATTGATTCAAATAATTTAACAATAACAAATCTTCAAATTTCAAAAATGCAATGGAAAAAGCGATAAAATATTCGAATGAGTAATGCTGAATTTTACTTTCCATAGACAAAAAAATTAATTTGTGTTTATTCTATACAAACACTAACAGTGAGATCAAAGTATACTCTCATTTTTTTCTTCTTCATTATATACCGTTGGCCAATTAGAATAAAGTCAGCAATGTTCTTATAAACAACTTCAATGACAATAGACGCCAATGGTCATCATCGACTATCCGAGTTGTTTGATAACTAGGCGCTTGGTTACTATACTTAAGTATTGTAGAATATATACGCTTAGTCGTTCATATGATAATATTGTTGACACTAACCAAACCAAAACATTCGGCAGTCATTTTCTGTTATATTTCACTCTTTGTATGTTTTTTTCCATGGATAATATGAAAAGAAGCTCAAGAAAAGTTGATATTAATTTGCATTGTGATTATCCTCTTATCCCCGATAGCTTCTATTTGTCTTTGTCAACAATAACTTGGCTGTGTTCTAATATCTTGAAAATCTTTGTATAACATCGTGATATTAATTCGTTTTCTGGACAAGATAATGACCACCTGGATTTCGAACTGTTCTTAACCTGTTGTTCATGCGTCATTCATCAAGATCGATCGCCTTGTATTGATATATTATTTGATAAAAGGTTGTCTAGTAATGACAAGCTGATGAATAAGCAACGTCTTGATTAAACCTTGAATGACCTCTATTTCTTATTCTTTATCGAAGAATGGTTTTCTATTATTAACCAATAGATTAGTTTTTATTTGTGCTGCAGTTGGTCTTTGTTCATTTCTTCTCTCTATATGTATATTAGCCGAACACTTTCTTGAAGCGCAATGACTGCTGTTGCTACTCTGAAAAATATAACTAATGCTCAAGAGACGAAAACTTCGATTCCATTAATGGACAATAGTGACAACGAAACAAAAAAGTGTGATCCACTAAATCATATGATGATATACATATTTGAAACACTCCTCTGAAGAAAACTAATTTATTCTAATATGCCATTAATTTTAGTTTTTCGGACTGGTATTTGTTTCGTTCGCTGTACTTTTTATCAACTTATGTTTTATGTCCCTCTTTAGTCTACTTGCGTTCAGTCAGACTTGTGAATGGGCAAAAAGAATTTGACAACAACTGGAATTAAACTACTCTAATAGAATTAGACGGAATGATGACGATTTCCATTAATTATCAATTAGTTTTTATATTAACTACGATCTTTTTACTCATATGTATTATCGAATTTCGTGATTTTAGCAAAATATGGTAGAGAATCCCTTGATCATATATCCTAGTTAACTTTTGTATCACCACATGTTTCGTCATTGTAATCATTTTTTATATTTGTCCATCGAAAAGTGCACAAGCCGTTTTACAATATTTCTTTGAAGTGAGTCTCTTTTCTTTGAATTGTAATATCTTTTCTTCTTCTATATTCTCATAGGATGAATATACATTGTCGAAAATTCCAAATTTATTGTTTTATTTTAAATGTGTCTTTGTGTAGTGCACTTCAACATAGTGTAATTTTTCTTATTGTATGAATGTTCAAACCGAACCATTTCGATATTAATATCTATATCAATACATTTTTCGCATCTGCAGTGAAGAATAGAAGCAAGCAGACGCAAATTATTCTTCAAGAACAAGAAGAAAACAAGCAAGAAGAAGATAAAATTTGTGAAAGCTCCGTCTTATGTTGAGTTGTTATCATATGTATAAATATCTTTCAAACGTAAAAATTCATTTGAATAATTTGATAAAAATAAACATTCAAATGTAGAAATGTCACAAACCAGCAAATAAAGTTTTCCAATGGATAGTGCTGATAATATATCATAAAACTATAAAATTCGACATTTTCAAGAATACTTACTACTATCATTATAACACACATAAATAACTGATTAAAGGTTAATAAAATTACTTTCCATTCATAAAGTCAATTGTGGTCGACTGTAAGTTGAATAACTTTAGAAAGAAATCAGCTAGAGAACTATGGCTTTCAGGTTTTAAAAAAATGCAATAATACTTGTGATTTTGACTTATGAAAAAGCATAGTTTAATAGTACGAAATAAAGAAAATATTTTAAAAGATTCAACATATTTGACAAGGATTGTGCATTGAAATAAGTGATATGTTAGGGTGCTGTTCTTTTCTATCTATCAGAATAACACTACTAGAAATGAATTTAGTGTTAAGAAGTGTTTACAATAATTGAATGAAAAGAACATAATTTAGGTAGTTATAGACAGATCGATTTCAATAGTTCTACATTTTTCTTTTCGACTTCAGTCAATGTTAATGGCTGACGATTAAAAAGTTCATTGCCTAGAAAAAAAAATGAGAGAAATACTTAGATTTGACCATATTAAATATTGAGATATAATAGAATATTTCGAATGAATTTAACCATTCGAATGTACGAGCAATCTCAAATGTAAAAAGAAACATATATTTAAATGATAAATGAAGTTTTTCATCATGACAAGAAAAGAATAAACTATTGTTTAATATCAAACAAATAATTCTTTCTTGTACTTTTAAAACTCTCTCGTTTTCATATTTTACATATGATTTATGAAATGTAAATAGTTTGAGAGAATATGTTATTTTTATGGAAACGAAATATCTAATCGAAACAATACCTATCAAATGTAGAAGCTTATTAACGATATTCATTCGATTGAATCGAATTTTGTATTATATGAAGAACAAACTAGAGATAAACATAATGAAACTGCCAATGCGACAGCAAAAGCGGTCCGACTGTTGCAGCTTGTTTTTGGAGTACATTGCTAAACAGTATGAATTCATACAAGATTTCGGTGTCGACGAATGTAACACCTGAAACTGAATGATTCTAGCGAATTAGTAACAGGAATGCTAGTCCAATGCTTTGAAGGTAATGATTTTCGAAACATGTATTGAAGTCTCATCGTGGATGTGGCAACGTTTCTAAAGTTCAATGCGATGCGGAAGCTTTTCCTTTCTATGACCCCCAAAGGTTTTGATAAGTTTAATGGAACAAATTTTGGAAACAAAAAAATGAATATTTATATGAAAATAATGACTGTTACTTTCAAATCTTCTTTCTTCAAAATTAGGGGGTGGGTGTCGTCTTTCTATTCTTACCCACACCCAACAAGATAAAAGCCCAAGAAATAGAACAAAAACGAGAATAAGACACGAAAGAGTTAATGAGGACAGAAAGAGAATTAAAACATACAAAGAAGAAACATTAACATAAGGATAATTATGAATATCATTACCTGGGTATAATTATTGAGAAAGAGCTCT